CTATTCTTTTCCTTGTTTCCCTCCCCCTTTTTTTCTTTTTTTATTGCTGGCAGGCTAAAGTTTTTCGCTGGCGACGTGCTTTTCAAGGCAAAAGAGGAAGCTCCGCTTCTACAGCACGTGGTCTCGTATATCATTGCCGAAATCGTCGCATACGAGCGCTTATACAAGTGGCTTTCTTATTCATCGCATGTAACCGAAAACGCAATGACGTGCGAAACATCCAGTACACGTTATAAAAAAAACAAGAGAAATAAAAGAAAGGAGGATACATTCTTAAATAGTTATATACGTAAAAGAGACAGCAACGCACAGCGTTAGCCTAAGGGAAGTGCGTGGCTGGCTTGGGGACCTGGTTGTGCGATGGTGTTGATTCAGTCAGCACCGGAACATCAGAAGTGGCGCCCACGAGCGCCCATTTCCGGAGACACGACACATATCTCACGGCTTTCCTCGCTCCCCTCCGTCTTCTCTCTGCGGCCCTCTCTTCCTTTCTGCTCTTCCGCATACACCAAGTGCACCGGGGGAGAGGAAAGCCAGATTGGAGGTATACGTAGCACGTGGGTAACGGGCGCGGGGAGTAAGGACCCTTCGGTCGGACTCGACGCTGCAACGTTTACACGCATATCCGCGCCACCAATACCCTGCCCCCGAAAATTCACCTAGAAATTCGGACGGGAAGTCCAAAGATGTGTTTATTCAGTAGCGTAGATGTTCTGGTAACAGTGTGCGTGGGTCGGCGCACACACACACACACACACACACACACACACACACACACACACACACACACACACACACACACACACACACACACACACACACACACACACACGCACACGCAAACACTAATGTCAATGTCAGCGCAAAGCTCCTATGTCATGCTCCATGGCAGTTGCGCACGGAGTTTCACCTGAGAACGGTCGAAGACTTATGCAAAGTGTATGACACTTACCTTTTGGCAGCCAGCTGGTTATAGCAAGGAAGGACTGCTCGTCACATCAGAGATGGAACATTACGCCGATCCTTACTGTCTTGTATCATGCTGACAGCGATATTTATGACGTGACTTTGTGCCCCCCCCCCCTAACGTTCCTCCTCTGGATACGTACCTTATCTGCAGAGGTGGTTTTCTCGTACCTTTCCATGCTGAACTTTGACAATTAATTTGGAAAACCATAACACCTCATTTTTATCACTCTGTATCAGATGGCCACCCCTCACGGGAACAAAAAGGAATCGGCAATGCTCACTGTGCATAGGTATACATGCATAAATACTTGTACACATGAAGCGAATCGCGGAAGTAACAAAGCCGGACGCTTTTATGTTTAAAAGCTTAATTTTTCGGTGCAAAACAAGTGGAGCGACACAATGCGTAAGTCTAGTAGGCACCTTCTCTGGCTGCTACGTACAAGAAGGAGGTTTCGAACCTGGCCGTGGCGACATCATTTCAATGGGGGCGAAAGTCAGGAACACCCGTGCACACAGATTCATGTGCCCGTTTAAAACTGGAGGTGGTCCAAATGGATTCGTTTTCCTACTCCGTGCCTCATCAAAAAACAATGATTTCACAAATAGCCCCCCCCCCCCCCCCAAGTTAGGCATTTTACGATGTTTCCATATCTAAGGGTAGAAAACAACAACAACATAATGCCACTGTGGCCGCTGGCCACCGAGATCAAAGTACAATAAAAAGAAATGGTGAAGCACGTTGACGACACAACGATGCATATTTGTGCATCACCATGGCTTATGTGGTTGACCTACCGGGAAAGGATACCTGTCAAGTGCGTTATAACGATCACACTGAGCCATGTAGTGTATGCGACTCCCTTATCGTTTTTGTTACGTTTGTTATTGCGTATGGAGTTATTATTGGCTCATTTTGTTTAGTACTACATATACAAATTCAAGTGGAAGAAGATATACTGGCTTGAGCCCCGAATGGTCTCAGTCTTGGTGATCGAAGGCGTAACGTTAACTAATATTAAACTGTTCGGGTTTAACTTCTCAAGAGACCACAATGTGAATAGGCCGCGGAGGCCTCTGGGAGCTTTGACCGCCTGGGGTTCTCTAACGTGCACTGAAATATAAGCACATGAACCTCTAGCTTCTAGCCTCCATCTAAATTCGGAGAATCAACGATTACCAATCGTACAATTTTGAGGAACGTCGTATTGTTGGGTATTCCAGATTAAATCTGAATACCCGGATGTTCTTAAATGTCACCCCCATCGAAATACGGCCTCCCTGCAGGCGTTAGTCGATGCCGCTTCCTCGGACTAAGCCACGCGACAGGTGCCACGGGGATACCAAGGGGGTACTAGCAGTTAAGACGGTGCACAAAGGTGGAAATGCGGCCTTGTTGGTAGGAAATAATACAATTTATTTCAGCGCACAGCAGCATAAGCACAGATGTTGTCCTTGTTTTGTGTCTGTCTCTGTTTGGCGTTATTTTTCAGAGCACCAGAAAAAAAAAGTGACAGTCGGACGCAGCGTTTGCAACGGCATGCCCACACAACTCATTGAAGCTGCAAGTCACACATTTTTCTTTTTTTTTTGACAAAGAAGAATAGAGATGAAAAAAATGACTTACATGCTTCGGCTACAACAAAGATAACTCCAAGCACCGAAATTATCCTCATCCGCATCGTCGAAACGTTAATATTCGAGGGTGGGCGATGGCAACGCTATCGGAGATGATGGTTGTCGCTCCGTTGAGTGCGAAATACACGTATTTGCGCGAACACTTCGCTGTCATCATCTCACACAAACATCCGAACACCACTGACGTGTTTCGAGCTGGTAGTGTCCTGTCAACGGAAAAAGAAAACTCCGAGGTTAATACCAGCTTTGCCCGCCGAGAACAACGCGAGATTCGCGGATGTTCTTCGCGCCATCGTTCTATCACTGGCATTAATTACGAGGTCGGACGACTTTCGGTTGTTATTATTTCCTCGGGGGCGCTCCACGTTTGCGCGGGCTTCCGAAATACCTGGCTGCGAAGGCTCCCCCCCGGTGCCGGCCAATCCGATGGCTCGTTTTGGGCGGATGCATAGCAACGAGGATATGGGTGCCTCCCTCTCCGCTAAGATGACTCTTTGGGCGCCGGTGAGGAGTGAATCCCAATAGGAGCGGACGTGCGTCGATTCCGCACTGACCATGTATCAGTAATTAGTAACTAAGCTCTAATCAAAAGCATCTTAGGTAGACGTGTACGTCAGTATGGTATTTACATAAAATTAACTCGTTGACCTTCGAGACCTGGCTTGCAGAAAACAAAAGCGAAAAAGGAAAAACAAAACAAAACGATGTGCTTTGAATCATACTGCTGATGCTGCTGTTGGAAAAAAAAAAACACAACAGTTAGAAATCACTTCTTCAGGCGCGAATTACGATACACTGTCTGCAAGTGCGGCAAATTCACATGGCATGATCCCAAGGCACTCAGTATTAAATTCCAAAGAAAATGTGTGACATCCAGAGACAGTCACTGGCGTCCGTTCTTGCGCGAATCGACAAGAGCCAAATGTCTGTGGACACTATTTTTTCAAGTGCCCGAGAGAAGACATTGCAGCAGAAGTGACAAAAGCTCTGTTGAAATTCCTACGCGAGACGGACTTGAACAAGCGGCTGTAACAGCAATGTCACACACCGCGAAAGACAAGACTGGACAATGACTGAGTGTGTGCGCGTGTGCTGCCGAATGTGCACACTGTGTTTATCTCTCTTCCCTCTCCGCTCTCTATCTTTCATCTCTCCCATCCCCCTCCCATGCGCAGGGTAGCAAACCGGCTGCCTATAGGCTGGTTAACCTCCCTGCAGTTCTTTTCCTCCTATTTTAGTTCCAAAGAAAAAAAAGAACGTGTTGATTCATTTGAGTTCCCATAATTAGTGTTAATTAGCATGTAAGAAGTGAACTAATGATTGTTAATTAGCATGTAAGAAAAGTGGACGGAGAGATAACTTGCCGGTGACGAGTTATCTTTTCGTTAACTCTTCTTTTTTATATTGAAATTACTATTACTTCTAATATCATTCCCTATATTTCTTCTGGCACTATTGTATGTTAGTTGTCATTAATAGAATGAAGCCACTATGCTTAACGATAGAGGGCTTGCGCGAACGCTTTTGACTAGTGGTGCTGTCCTGCACACGTCTGCGAATGCACAGCTCATTTCCTTAATTTGTTCATTCCTCTCCCTCTCTACATCTTTCAATCTCCCTACGCCAGTCCCCCAGGGTTGCCTAGCCAACCAGAAAACATCCAGAGAAGGCAATATTTCTTCTTTTTCACGGGAGGGGAGGGGTTGGTGGCAATGATACTTTTCAAAACGCAAGTTATCTCTTTGTGCGTGCTAAATATTGGTTCATTGAAATGCCCGAAATGCTCTCCTATAGACCTTGTCATGCCTTCTCTCTGACTATTAGAAACCATTAGAGTTTGTTGTCACAATGTTGTTTTTATAGACAACCTTTTTACCTGGATGGAGGATTCACTGATTAATGAAGTTCAGCACGGTCAGTACGTCGTCTGTGATGTATTAGGCCTCCGTGCGACCGGAGCGGAGACGTACTTCGAATATGTCGCTAACGAAACTGCAACTAAAATAGTAACTCTTCATCCACACATAGGCGCGAGCTGGCTCCCACATAGAAGCGCGGCGTTGTATGCATCGCCAGTTCCGCGTTAATTATGCAATCAATCGCAAGAGTCGAGTGGCTGCAGTACGGACGCTATTTATTACAAACCACTGTGATCCAAGTGGCCGAGACCGGAAGGTCAACAGGTAGCGCCAACGTTGTGAATACGATAAATTAGAGCTGCACAATCAATTCACACCCTCCGCTCCAGTGGCGGGCTGCCAAATCCCTCATTTATTCTCGCGCGCGTCGAACCACTCGGCGACAAGGTTGCAATTCATTAGGCATGCAGGAAGTACGTACGACTACTGCGAGACTGCCCGATCTATTCCACCTTCCTTCCGCTCGACACTCACCCGTCGCGCAGCCTCTTCGCATGTCACTGGAATATGGATGATGGCGGTGCGGAACCGCCCTGGGATTTGTTCCGAGCTTGCGGTCGTCCTTGTCGCTGTACTCAACGAGCATTCTTCTCGTTGTGGCGCAAGTCGAAAGCGTCAGACACGTGCGCCGTATCGGCGGATGAGAGGAAGCAACAACTTTAATTGGGTTAGGGCTATCGTCTGGAGGCCATGTTTTATGCAGCATTATTAACCGAGCGGCGCATCTCCTGGTGACTTTTTTCATGACCTTTTGGAAAGACTCGTTGGGGGCCAAAGTTTTGTTCCACGCTAATAACGGCAATCGTGTACCTCAAGCCATTTCAAAGGTGTGGGGGTTGGTAAGCACTGCTAAGCAGTGCATAACGAATGACTCGACTATACTAGCGCACACACAGACGGTAGCTAGCAATCATGTTCGCGCATCTTGACCATCGGCCCCTTTCAAAGAGGACAATGCTGAAATTCGGAACACAAACAGTCGTCGCACTCGAAGTCGAACACGACATTATCATCGTGCCTGAAGTTATTGAAGGTGTGGCGCATACGTCGCGAACAGTCTCCGAAAGTTGTGCATGTTCCCGCTATCCAGCTTTCTATGACAAAAACTAGCAGTAGTTCCGTGTACGAATACGATTGATGAGGGCCACTCCACGTCAAACGTCCCAGCCATTTTGGCTACCATCTCAAATATATTCGAAAGAAATATTGCTGATTTGCTGCGCTGAAAACAGTGAATTGCTCGAATATTTCGGAGAGAAAAAATTTTTGGTCCCGTGGATGCCTTCTGAACATCCCAGAATGGGGTCCAGGTGTTGTTCGTAAAAATTGTAAATATATTTTTTTTAAATTACCGCTCCTTCTTTTTAAACCAAATCTGGCCTACTTGGTAAGTGAAGGAGCTTGTGTGAGGCGTTCGAAGGTCAGTAATATTAGTGCAATATTTCAGACACATACCCCTCCAAGAATTTAACCAAAGTGTGTTACGTTTTCATTTTTTTCTACTGAATACTGCCTTTTGTGTCAATATCTGAGAAATTATTACTTTCTCCCCAGAAGGTATATTTTATGGAAAATGTATTATGACACCTCTCGAGCTGTTAAACTTGACGAGGAAAAATGCCAGACTTAAAAGAAAATTGTCAATTTTTTTCCATAATGAAATGCAACTTGCACCTTGTGGTGCTCCAATTAAAACTCAGCTTTATATCTAAGTCAAAAGCAACTAAACAGTTATTTTTGTACGGCAACTGTTATCATTACAATTTGGGTTTTCAGAAAAAAATTGAAATTTCCCATTGATGGCTATTTTCCTATTTGGCCATATGACAGTTTCTGACTTATTGATATATGTATATATATATATATATATATATATATATATATATATATATATATATATATATATATATATATATATATATATATATATATATATATATATATAATATTAAGAAAGGGAGGGAGGTTAACCAGAAAGATAGTGTCTGGTTTGCTACCCTGCACTTGGGAAGGGGAAATAGGAGACAGACAGAAAAGTAAGGAAAAAAAGTTCTTCATTGCTGCAATGGTAAACTTCAAAAAATACTTTCTTCTTTAAAGCAAAAATTGTAATACCAAAACTTGCCACATACAAAAAAAACATATTTTCTTTCGATTTAAATATAAAGCTGATTTTTCATTGGAACACCATACCGTGCAAATAGCTTCTAAATATAGACAAAAATGACAATTTTCTGAAGTTAGGGGTTTTCCTCGTAAAGTTTAACAGCTTGAGATGTCTAAAGATTTTTTTTGCACAATATATATCTTCTGTCAAGTGAGTATTCATTGCTCGTATATTCATACAAAGTACAGTGTTATAATAGAAGAATGCAAACGTAACACATTTTGGCTAAAATCTTGGAGACAAGATTTTAGCCAAAATGTGTTATTTTAAATTTTAGACAAGAAAAATTGCGCCGCTATTAATGAGCTTGAAACACCTTGCACTAGCACATTTACTTAACATGTAGACTGAATTCGGTTAGGAAAGAAGGATCGGTACTTTTAAAATTATTTTTTTTACAAGCAACACCCAGACGACATTCCGGAAAGTTCGCAAATCACCCACGTGACCAAAAATGTTCTCTCTGCGAAATATTCAAGCAATTCACTGTTTTTGGATGCAGTAAATCAGCAGGATTTCTTTTTTCGATTTTATTTGAGATGGTCACCAAAATGGTAAGGGCGTTTGAGGTAGAATGACCCATGAGCGAAGCTCCTGAGAAAGAGAGAGAGAGAGATAAAGATGCAAGGAAAGGCAGGGAGGTTAACCAGACGCACATCCAGTTTGCTACCCTGCACTGGGGAAGGGATAAAGGGGAGAAAATAGGTTGCAGAAAGATGAGAAGGTACACACAATCACGAGCACACTCGGGGAGCACACACAGTCTACAGGCGGTCGCTCAGGTTTGTTGACTTAAGGTAAAGTAGCAGTGCTTTAGTTGCTTTCTGCGCAACTGAGGCAGATGCCCAAGGTCCTAGTATCTTCTGCACACAAAATGGTCCGGGGTCAAGTCGATTCAAAACCATCCGGAGCTGGCATCGCTGTGTGTCGTAGCAAGCGCAGCTGCACAGGACGTGTTCGATGGTCTCTTCAGCTCCGCAGTAGTCGCATGTAGGAGTGTCTGCCATACCAATGCGAAAGGAGTACACCTTTGTAAATGCAACACCCAACCAAAGGCGGCATAACAGTGCGCATCGGAGCGGGAAAGTTGTGATGGTAGCTTTAGCTTGAGCGAAGGATCCAGTTCATAAAATTGACACCTTTGGAAGCTGGTAGACGACCAGAACGTGCGTGTGAGATCTCGAGACAGCAGGTAAAGTTGTCTTGCTGCATCATTCCTTGATAGAGGAATCGAGACTACACGGGTTTCTTCATGGGCTGAGTGGGCTGCATCATCGGCTAATTGATTTCCGGTAATGTAACACGAATGACTATGCGCCTGATCTCGCTGCTGGCTTTCATGAAGGCAATAGGATGGGGAGTCGGTGGGGATAGCGTCTGCTGCGGTCGGTGGCTGGAATGTCTGAGTGAGTGAGTTTGCGGCTAGTACGAACGGCGCAGCACGAGTCATCTGCCGCCGCGCCAGCGCCCTGGTGCGAGTTTGCTTGGTGAGCTTGACAAGCGCAGGGAGTTTCGACGGCGACAGCGGAGTCCGGGACTAAGGAGCTTCACTCCTAAAAAAAAAACAAAAAAAAACTTGCTTGGCCGGTTTCAGAAGGAGGCGTGAAATAATGCTGCCGACGGTTTACTGAAATGCCACCCGGCTGCGGTGGTCTAGTGGCTAAGGTGTTCGGCGGCTGACTCGCAGGGCGCGGGATGAAATCCCGGCTGCAGCGGCTGCATTTCCGATGGAGGCGGAAATGTTGTAGGCCCGCGTGCTCAGATTTCGGTGCACGTTAAAGAACCACAAGTGGTCGAAATTTTCGGAGCCCACCACTACGGCGTCCCTCATAGTCAGTAGGTGGTTTTGGGGCGTTAAACCTCAAATATCAATCAATTGCCGCAATGCCGTGACGGAGTGCGCACGACGAAGAAAACACACACACACACACACAAACATCATAAGACGCCGAGAGGATGCCATTACCCTCTCCACCGAAGGCACTGCCAACGCAGCATAATGCCTTTTCAAGATCAGGACAATTCGAAAAATCTACGCGTTACCCGACTGATACCGCAGACGAACAGTCGAGGAGTATCTAGCCCTTTCTCTTAGCTTTGCTGTTCTACACGTCGACAGTCACACGGAAGCTTCGCGAATCGAGACGCAAGCGGATGTAAGAAGACGGCAACGGATTGTCAAGGCCGTGAATGAGTGAGTAGGATCTTAAAGACAGGGAAGAAGTTATGTTGATCAAGTGGGTCGCGTAGTGCGGTAAGTCAACCTGGAAGAATCGAGAGCGTGCGCCGAGGTATAAGTGAACATTTTTGAGTGTCGCCGAGGAGCTGTACCGACGACGGAAGGGAACACCGATCAGCGCTGAAGTTGTTCTGAGTGTTTACTGGAAAAGAAACATTCCAGATATGTTCCAAGCATAGTATAGGCTCGACAAGTTTTGGAAAACACACAAGACTTTAAGTGTTCTTAAAAAGCTTGCAATGACTAATATCATAATTATATCTGAGTTATACTAATATCTGAGTTATGGTGTGAGTTGTAATTGATACTTGCATTGTGGGATGCTTGTGCTGCCTTAACAGAGTATACAATTTTTTGTGCACTCTTGACTCTGACTTTGTGTTTGAACAAGAACCGGCGTTCGTTGACACACTAAATAACAAAAAGAACCACTACTATTTATTGCTCGCGCTTTTGTGGTGCATTTTCTAGGGCCGATATGTCCGCCCTTGTAATTTGCCCGGTGATTGCCTCCTCCATAAACGGGATTACTTACAAAGTGCAATCGCCAAGTGAGATTGATGCTTGGTACGAATTTCACATCAAAATAGAACAGACCTAAATTTATCGTTCCAGTTGCACCCGATTCCTCCACATCAGTAACGAAGCTAGTTGGCGCAATTTTTTGCCGAGAAAAATCGATGTATATTTATTGCAAATAAAAAACGTGATTCTGCTTTATGAATCTAATAGCGAAGAACAGAATCACAGCGGCGAAGAAAGCCTTCCCGTGAAATTAATTATTGAAAAAACGCCAGAGGCAGATGGAGAGAGAGAGGCATCTTTATTCAACGGAAAGAAAAAAGGAGATCTTTAAACGTTTCTCACTGGGACCCTACGCCCAGGGCTCCAACATAGGAACTTCAGAAAATTCTGACCACCCATTACAACAGGCAGACACATTACAGGCAGACACATTACGAACCACGTTTATTACTGTTGTCTGGGAGAGGATGTACTGTTTGTTTGTTTTGAGGATCACTGTGCGTGCCATAATTATAACCCAGAATTCGGAGTAGCACGCCAAGGAAAAAGCTAGACTAACATCTCCAGCTTGTACAGTCAACACGCACTAGTGCTTTTCCCATAGTTTTTCCCGCGTTCTTGTGTCTTGTATGCAGTCGCTTCTAAGTAGAGCCGA